CCATATCCTGACCATATCAAGAGCGAATAATTAGCAATTATTTGCCGAAGGCGAGGTGAATCTTGTTGAATAATCCCGAGACGAAGTCAAGCGTCTAAAGATTCACCGAGCATGAGGCGAATAATTGTTCATTAGTATCATCGGCCGAGTGATTATAGGAAATCCTCGCGCGCTATTGGTCGAGACCTAGGTGATTATTTTTCGATAATCACTTTAGGGCCTTACATTGTACCGCATATGCATGTGGGTGGTACGTGCGAGCGAGCTACGTACGTTCGTGCATGCGTGTGTTTGTGCGCGCTCGCATGGGTGTGTGTGTGGTGTGTGTGTGTGTGCTGTGTGTGTGTGTGTGTGTGTGTAGTTGTGTGGTGTGTGTGTGTACGTGTGTGTGCGCGCGAGCATGTGTGTGATCATTTAATGTCGTGTTATGCGTATAAAACTAACAGTGGGTGGATAAATGTTTGGAGACTCGGCTAGGCGAATATTAAAAATCAGTCCCTCCAAACGAAGTCGTGTTTATTACAAAGTCATCCATCGGGTTCGTGTAACACTGCAATGTGGCTTTATATACTATAGACTCAACATATTTCACAACCTTTTAGAAACGCAATCGAACGTCACCTAACTTTCAAAACTCATTAGCCTTAGAAGGCACAATTGTGCTACTCGAGAAGAACAAATAAGTGAATTCAGCTCATCCGAATGGCCACAATATCGCAATCCCGAATATCAAATTTGAATCTCACAATGAAACCAAAAAGTACGGTTTTACAGCCTGTAGTCAGAGCGTATAGTTCGAAAGCCGGGAGCGGCCACCGTTGCGCTGCTTGCTTGACGATCAAATTGTGAGTGTCAAGACTATTAGTCGAGTTCGCGAGTAGTGGAAATTGACTGAACGTTGCCATCGGGTATACTAGTACACAAGGTTTTTTGTGGTATAATACTCGCGGCAGACTGACGCGAGCTAGGCGCTGCAGTGTGAAGCGTGTAACTCTTCCGCACGCTCTGTTTCTTCAGCCATTCCGAGTACTCGACGGACAAGGGTGACTTCAACAAGTGCGTGCTATGCGGTCGTCACCGCGGCCGGCTGGCGACCCGCTGGACAAGTGCATCTGTCAGAGTATGACCCATTGTACAAGCGTGCCACATGGACAACGGGTCAGTGACGGCCAGTACTAGCTGCGGATGCGCTGACAGCGCAGATCGTTATAGTGCGCGTTTTAAAAAGTGACAGAAGTGGGGGGGGCGGATACACCTATAACTTGTCCGCTGCTTGTAATTGATCGGGTCGGTATTCTTCTCTCTAGCATCATACCACCTAGCACTACGCTCCTGCCCAGTACTAATACTAAGATTCTTAATGCGGAAACCAGGAATTATCGACGTCGGGTACAAAAACACAGAACTTGATAAACGAAGGTTTCAGGATGTTCGTAAACTATATCATGTAAAACTCGTGTTCGTGGCTTTTCACGCGAGAATGACTAAGTGAAATTGAGAATATCCGTTTTAATACAACTATAGACATATATAGTTTTACGCCAATAGGAACATGAATTTTTTTTTTAAATCAGTTATGAACGCATTGCATATATGCAATAGTATATATGCATATATGCATATAAAATATTAACATATATATATATTATATATATATACATTATGCATATGCATTATGCATATATGCCAATAAGTAAAAATCCTGAATACTACGGTTCTCCAACTAAAAGTTACGATTTGGTTATCGAAACCTGAAAGAGGATCGAACAATACGGCACGTACTACGGAACGACTACCAATGCAGGACACACGGGGCATTTCGCAAGTATCAGAAAATGATGGCGGCATGAGAAGCTGGTGCATGCTGTGGACCACATTCTCTATCGTACCGCTCACGCTTATACTAGAAGCCTTAAGCGTACGCTTATATAATTCACTACAACAAGCCGCTGTGTATATAACACGTGCTTTAAATTGATATTTCGTCTCTTCAAACTGTTACTGTAATATTCAGTGAGATGTTCTTGAAGGCGTATATCTCTTATTATATACTTAACTTATATTATTAACTTGTCTCTGAAAGTTATTGTTAGCCATATTCGCAGTCGGTTATACGTGTACAGGCAAACAAAGATTGCAAACATCATATGAACTGCCGCCGCTAGCGTCATTGTTTTTTTAACAAATGGACTGTCTAGACG